AAGGCTGAGTCAACCTTGAGCCGGTGAGATTTGAACCGCTGAACTGCAGATAACAGTCAGCTGAAGTGGCCTGCAGTGCTGCACCCTAACTACTGTGCCACCTCGGCTGATAACAAGGCCCAAGCAGAAGAAGAACATCATGGCTTCCAAATCTAAGGGACTGGTTTGGACAAAACTCAACAGCACACTGTACATCGGATATGAATACAATTGAGTTCAGAGGTATTTCACGAGACGAGTCCTCCACTCCTCTGCTCACAATAGAATCCCTTATGCCACCAGGCTCGAGGGTTTGGCCTTGGACAACCTGGAACTACGCCACCTGCAGTCGAACCTAAGCGTAGTACACAAAATTGTCTGCTACAACGTCCTACCAACAACGTCTTCAGCTTCAACCACAACAATACACGGGCAAACAATGGATACAAACTCAAGGTTAACCGCTCCAAACTCGATTGCAGAAAATACGACTTCAGCAAGAGAGCTGGAATGCTCTACCTGACTCCGTTGTTAAATCCTCAAAGCCCCCATAGATTCAACCTCAAATTGTCTACCTTGGACCTCACCCCATTCCTAAGAGGTCCGTAAAGGGGGCGTGAATATGCGCACCGGCGTGTCTTCCGTCCCTGTCCTACTGTCCCCGTTTATTAGTACCCATTTCCTTTGCTTGCGTCCATGTTTATACTTGTACCTGTTATCTTGTACATGCTCGACAAACTAAATAAAATAAAAATAAATATATATATATTTTTAGCCAACATCTGCCTTGGAAACTCTACATGTGCTAAATCAGCGAGCTACTTACATCTTTGGTAGAGTCTTTGTAAACGCAGGAAGCCCCTCTTAAAATGCATTCAGGACAACACTTGCCTGATAAATGAGATAATTCTTCACCCTGCAAAGAAATTGAGCATTACAATAAGATACCTTGAATCAGCTCTTTTTATTTTTATTTTTAACGATGCCGAGAGAAGAGATGGGGAAGCTGGCCATTTCCCCCCCTCCCCCCGGAACACACACTTTAAAATCCTATTTTATCAGTCTCATTTCATCACCAAGTTCCCTTCCAAAAAGATAACTATCACTGTGACTCTACAAAGACCGAAAGACAAATTCTCCTTGAAATGCCACAATGCTGACAACTAGGTCAACTCATGGAAGAAAGTGGAGAATCAGGTTTTGTGGATTGAATCATATCTGCTGGAAGTTGCAATTTGCTTGTCTAACCTCTTTTCCACAGGACTATCTCCTTCCATGAAATACTCTTAGGGCAAGGGGTCTCCAACCTTGGGCACTTTTAAGACTTGTGGACTTCAACTCTCACCATTCCTCAGCCAGCTTTGCTTCTGAGGAAATCTTCAAGAGGCAAAGCTGGCTGAGGGAACTCTGGGAGTTGAAGTCCACAAGTCTTAAAGTTACAAAACTGGCTGAGGAACTCTGGGAGTTGAAGTCCACAAGTCTTAAAGTTGCAAAACTAGCTAAGGAATTCTGGGAGTTGAAGTCCACAAGCCTTAAAGTTGCACACCTGTCTGAGGAATTCTGGGAGTTGAAGTCCACAAGTCTTAAAGTTGCAAAGCTAGCTAAGGAATTCTGGGAGTTGAAGTCCACAAGTTGCACACCTGTCTGAGGAATTCTGGGAGTTGAAGTCCACAAGTCTTAAAGTTGCAAAGCTAGCTAAGGAATTCTGGG